ATTCTTTTCGTCTGTTTTTTCGAGTTTAAAAAATATGAGCTGGCTGGAGCCTTCATCCCTTGTCTATTTCTTACACTAGCCGACACCCCCCTCACAGGGAGTGCATACAGTTGATCATAGTTCCTGGGCTCCCTGTGCATATACTAGTACTAGTATGTAAAACTATATAAGTAGAAGATTTCTGGGAAAGACTGACTGGGCGCTGTATGGCAAACTGGCAATGGGACATGCCATTATGCGCAAACGCGACATTTTTAATAGGACTGTGTATAAACCCATTGACAACATCTCAACAAACTAACAATCGAAGGAATTTACTTTTAACGTTTCTTGTTAATATTTATTTCCAGTTTTATGTTCGTTTTATATTTCTTCCAAGTGTTACACAGCAATGATTGTTATACCTACAAAGCAATGGAATATTCCAACTACCCCTGTTCCTCGTGCCCACACATCAAAGGCATACCGCGTCCGGTGTTTTGATTAACTGTCACGTGAGAGTGTATGTAACTTTATTGCGTCTACAACGGTCGTTGGGGCGTCGAGCAAAGTGTCTGGGGATGTTGCAAAGTCCCTCGGTAATTACCTAGCGGGTGCGCGAGTTAGGTGTATGTAAATATCTTGCGCTTTCATTTCGCACTTACTCGCTTATATTAAGTCATTTTTTGTTTCAATCCATATTATTCTAATTATAGTTTCATTCAATATAATTTCACTCGTTCCTTTCCTATCGCTATGCGAGTTTTTAACATGTATATAGAACTGTAAATATTTTAATACTCGAGTGATAAAAAACAGAAATGTTAAATGTGATGCGATAATCGGACATGATATGTGTTGCCGCAGATCACGAGGATTACATAGTAAATACATGCTTTGATTGTTACGATGTTATATCACACCTTTCTGAATAGCATATTAGTGTATTATTGAAATTAAGTTGTTTACTTCAGAATTTGGCTTAGGATGCTATCGTAAAAAGGGAACTCTGTATCGTGGGTTTGCTGCTAATGTCACGTCTGGTTTACCGTGTATTCCTTGGGAGAATTCCATGTCTAAATATACACCTCAGAAGAAACCAAATTCAGGTGAAGTTGCATTTAATAACTATTGTTGCCAAGACAGAAATATTCAGCTTAGTGCCATATTAAGATGTAGTTTATCTTATTGTGAAATTACACTGAATCTCAGACAACTAATAAATATAATTGTCTGAGACTGACTGTATACGTGTCTTATTCACCAGGTTTGGAAGGCGCTTACTGTCGCAATCCTGACAAAGAGTATATTCGACCATGGTGTTTCCATGTTGACGATTCACAAGATAAGATTGGATGGTCATACTGTGATATTCCCCATTGCAGTGATGGTAATTATTTACAGTCGCATTGGCCGTGAACTCGTAATGTGTACTGACAATAGAGACGGTTCAAGATGCGCACGACTGATTTATTGCTGTTAACGCTGTCTTTAAGTTGCAGTAATATAATTGGGAGTTTTAAGTAAAGCACACGATACTTCTTGTTACAACCAATGTCTTAAATTGATATTACAATATTCTGTTATGCAGTTCGTGGTGTTCGGAAGAATGACAGTTTACCACTCAATTGGTCTCACCCTTACTTCAATTTAATAAACGACACAGAGTTGTTCAATACATTTGAGACCAGGTTCTACACATCGCCTGGTTTTGAACGTGTCAAGGGTGAAACATCGCCGGATTGGTACGGGTTTATGACGTTCAGTTCCAATCCTGATTACAGTGATTTGGAGCAAGTGTTCAAGATAAAACCAGACGAGACTGTGATGTATGGACACCAAGCGCAGGATTTTATACTCCATTGCTCATTCAATCAAAGACAATGTTATTATACGTAAGTCTGTTGATTACCTTTGCATTCACACTATGTAAAATATCACTTTTAAGAACAAGGTAAAACATAAAATCTGTAAACATTATTTTGTATTTTGCTTTTTCTTGACTATTCCACGCATTTCATTTTGAGAGTATTTATGGTTCTTATCACTTGAGCAAACATACCAACACTATAACTAACAATCCAAGAACAAACACAATATTCTAATTCAGTGATTGTATATTGATTACAAATCTAACTTAATTTAGTTAATTTGACATTACCTACCCATAATCTGAACATAGTCGTATGAAAGTGTCAGAGGATGTTAACTCACACATTTCCAATGTGTGAATGCAACTTTATCGAAAAACTTTTTTTTTCATTGAAGTCAACGTTTTCTTTGGTATTCGATTTCCCCGTTTAAAAGTGGGAATTAATATTAATTTTGGGTTGAAAATTGCGTTTTTCAAATTTATTTCATAATTGATGGAATAGGCATTTAAAATTCACATTTTATTGCAAGAGATAGATTGGATGTGCAAACAACCTATGTACAACATATGTCACTTTACAATGTTGATTCATGGCATATGATAGTAGTTCTTTCATTGTTACATTTTGCTATACGCATTTTTAAACAATTTTGAATATTGTTTACTTCAGTGACTTCCGTATATTCACTAATGACAAGTATGGTAACTGCTTTACCTTCAACCACGGTTCAAATAATACAGAGATATTGAATTCAACACAGGCAGGATCGTCTTACGGTAATTATACTATTTTAAAGGGCGGTGGTCGCCGCGTCGCGCATGTGCGAAATTTTTGTTGATAAACATTGATTTCCCCACAGTCCAATGCGCTCTTCTAATAAAAATCGCGAGTTAGAGTTTTGACCTGGGTGCAACGTGCAATAATTACCGCCGACGAATCTTTCGACACCTTCCAATCACCAAAGAATTTACCTAATTAAAGCTTGGTAATGTCTCGGTGTGTACTCGATAGTCTTTGTTCATACGAATCCCATACCATGCGCGTACGTGGCGCAACGACCACCGCCCTTTAATACATTCGCTACTTCGTAGTTAGCTTTCATTTGCCATCTATAAGACGTATCTCAAGCTGTTTTTCATAACTAATTCAAGCGTGCTTTTTAAAAATTATTTTGTAAGGTTTGCGTCTAACCCTATTTACTGAGCAGAATGAATATATAAGCATATTTGGACAGGATTCCGGTGTACGAGTGTCCATACATGACCATAGGGTGGAACCATTCCCAGAGGAAGATGGTTTGACCGTTAGACCAGGAGCCGTAACTTCTGTTTCCATGAAGCAGGTCAGTTAAGATTAAATAAAACCATACGAAATGCGACGAATTGATAACTTCAAATATATTTTATGACGGATATCTGAGTGATTTTAATTGTTTTACTGGCAGGGTAAAATACAGCGACTAGGACATCCTTACGGCAACTGTAGTGATGGACATGACTGGTCAGATAACGGATATATGTACACTTTGAAGGTATTAGTTATAACAATGGTTTATATTTCTAAGTCATATAACATATACAGCGTATTTAACGTGCAATATGAGTGGCACTGTGTCAGCGACATTCGTTGTACATATTCAATAACGTTACTATGTTTACGTTATAACAATGTTTTGTTTTTCTAAGTCATGTCAACACAGGTGTATACAACATGCCTTGTTAACTGAATGTGGATGCGTGGATAGATCAACGAATGATGATCGACCTCGGTGTATGGTGTTAAACCAAACTCAAGGTAATTAGATCCTAACAGATCATTCTGATCTGAGGCAATAGTATTCATTTGTTTTGTTTTCTTCATAAACATTAACAATGTCAGCCATTGGTGTAGCGGTCATATACTAGAGGTAATATGCGATAGATTGTTGTAAATGTAAGTATACAGCACCTCGCCACACTTGCAATGCAGACTTTTACTTCTGTTATAAAATCTTTTTGGCACAGAACCACCAAGATAGCTTTAAGAACACTAGCTGCGTGATTTTGTTTGGAAAGTTTCCTATATCGAATTATTTATTTGACAAGGAAATAAGGATAACTTTGAGTATTGGGTATTCAAAATGTGCGTGTTAGATATTCAGTATCAAATGATAATATTATTATAATGGTGGAAATTTATTCTACCACTTCTTAGAATACCGTAGCTTTACTTGAGACGACAGGAAATGCTCCTGCAATACATTTTATTGTACGATACTGTGATTTGAAGTTATGTGTATTTTCTTAGATCTGAAATAACTATCTGAGCCCAGGCGTAGTGTCCGTAATCAATGAACCCATACAATACATGCAATATGGTTCACCAAAAGACGTGGACACAAATACAGCCATTATTCAGCCATGTATCCAATGAATTCTGAGACGTCACTGTGTTTGTGTGCTTTGTTTACAGAGATATGCCGGCAATTCATTTATTTCCTATATCAACATGCGCTATTGGACTGTGAGTGTCTGAAGTCATGTTCGTAAGTTCGTAAACATTTATACACTATAATACTAAGGACGAATGAATACACGTTTATCTTTCACAATACCATGTATTAAACTTGATTACATTAATGTAGAAACGGAATAAATATTGTCAAACAGCTGAATATACTAACGATTATGCATAATATAATCCACCGTATCTATATTTTATTGCTGCTTTTGTGTCCTACGATTATAACATTATTTCGAGATGTGGGAATCGTCAAACAAATTATTTGCATCCCTGCTTGCACTGTGCATGCCATTTGTATACATTTTTTGTTCCAAATCTTCCGCACTGAGATATGTACTAATCTATTAATTTGTGTTCGTATTACAGTGAGTCTTGGTACGATAAAACAATATCCCAGTCATTTTGGCCGTCAGAAAGCTATCTCGTAAGTAAGCACATTGTCTGTAGAAACGAATCTGATAATAATGGCTATTTCATTTCATTACTGTCAGTTTTACCGAGCATTCTTATCACACAACTTAGTGATTTGCATACCTAAGCATAGAGCAGCTAAATTTGAATAGTCACGTAAACATTTTCCCGGTGGACAAACACAAATATCTTACGACATACCTTACATACATGTCCTGTATTTTCAATCTACGACCACTATCATAGAAATTGATTATACAGCACTTTCTTTTACAGAAGCGTTTACTCAAAAGTCTGCATTCTGTGAATCGGAAAACGTCATTTATTAGAGACAGTGTTGACGCACAGTAAGTAACACGTGATACATAATGCATTTGATTGTACTATATAATATTGTGATTCGATCTTATTTTAATTTATTTATCTATTTTGTTTTATTTCAGACGAAACTTAGTTGGATTATCGATTTATTATGACGAGCTAAATTATGAGAAATTCACTGAAAACCCCAATTACATGGTAGGATAATTTTAGGATGATTCGTAATTGGTTAATTTGAATATGGATACATTTGCTGTAAAAATACGCGTTTTTAATTATAATCATTACAATTTTGTATTATGAGGTCATATTTACGTAGTGTAGTTTTGTTTTGTCTTGATATATTTATTATCTACGATCTTCCGCGATCCACACATCACGTGTTCTTTTTTTTCAAATTCACGAACATTTTTCTTTTGAAAGTGGAGTGGTGCATTGTCGTCATACACATTTACCCTATCATCGACTTGTACATGCGACATTAATTGAAGCAGTCAGTTTATCCTAGTGTCAATGTGTTTTACAAACGTCTATGGGAGTACATAATGTAATTGTCCACCATATAAACTTCCGGCCAAATTTCTCGACTTAGCATATGGTTTTATTTATGATTTTTTTCTCAGTATAAATCAACAATTATGTTAAACTTTTGAAACAAAAAACGTAATAATAAAACTCTTCCCTGGATTTCCATTCAGTCAGAAACAAATGAATATACTTTCTGGTACAAACTAACTTACATTTTATTCATTTATTTCAGATTGAAAAGTTATTTGGTGACATAGGAGGTTCCCTTGGCTTATATATCGGTCTATCACTTCTTACTGTCGTCGAATTTCTTGAACTGTTGTACCACGTGTTGCGTTATCTGTTGACAATTACGTTGAGAGCTATTTACCGTCGATGAATGCACTCCAGTGGTGTATGTAATCATCATTACTGTTCCAAAGATTT